GTCTAGGAAACAAGAAAATTGATAAATAAAGATCAGATCACCTGGTTTTAAAATAGTCTAAGGTCATGCAAATAAAATGGAAACCATCTACATTTTAGCATGATCGTAATATTTTCTCATGTAGAAGGTTGATTGCTATTTCGTACCAAGCTCAAGCTAATAACAACCACTAGCATGACTAGATCGATACGTGTGAATCACTCAATTGAGGAGTTTTCATCCTAAAGGTCACGCATGTTACGTTAGCATTAATGCATCTACCCTCATCAAAGAAGCACTATCATGTGTGACTCTTGATGATTGCAATGTATTATTGCCAATTTATTGGATGCGTTCACAAATAGAGGAGAACTTCACATATTATTCATTCATTTACAATTTATATTGACATATCTAACTTCTATTAAAAATATGAATGGGTTGACACTGTTGACGCAACAGTAAAGTAATCTCATTTTACTGTTCATGCTTATTTTATTTTTTTCCCTACCTTTTTCGTTCTTTGCCTCGACTATATCCATACTTGCGACTATACTGACAACCATACTAACTGTACTCCTTATGCTCACAACCATACTTCTTATTTTCCCTTGATTGATATCTTCATTTTCATTTTTTTTTTTTCGTTTTGGTACTGTGGCATTTTGGATTTACTTCTGTGGAATTTCAGTTAATCATCTGTTTTTCTTCGACCACATTCCCGATCTCTTCTTTTATATACTACTCTCAAACTTCACCTTCGAACTTTCAACGAGCGTGGTTTGCTTCATTCTCTCATTTTTTATTTATTTATTTGCTTTTTTGCGTGCTGTCGGCCAAAAAGGTTATGGAAAGACAACGTTGGATACTTACATCTATAGAGGTTGATTTTCTTCGATGCATATTTAATGGAGGAAATAAAAGTCCAAACAATGCAGAAATTCTATACATAGTCTCTACCTTATCGCCACATAATCCTAATAGTTGTGCACTGAGAATCCTTAACTGAAAAGTCTGATGAATGAATTGCAACCTTATTCTGCACTTCATTCTGATTGACGTTTAAGGACCTTCAGTTTAATAGTGCTTATGCTATATGTTATTTGTACTTGTATTTGTTTTAATTTTTCATCTCACTTATTTTTTGTTGCCTGTATTTGTTTTAACTTTGATCTCAGTTTTGGTAAACAATATGTATTAAGATTTTGTCAAAAAAATATCCGAACAATGCGTAGAGATGGCACTATCTCTCCGAACAGTACGGAGAAATTTTTTATTTTTAGCAGTTGTTTAAGAGTGCTTGTAATAAACTAAATTTGGTCCTTTTTCTATATATAATTGTATTAGTTTATTTAAATAGAATACTTTTTTTTTCCTTACAACACCTTTTTCAGGTTGTTTCTTCTTTCTTTTTGTTGTGCCTGTATTTGTTGTAGTTTTTATCTCTAGTTCCAAATGCTCTGTGTTTATTGGCCTTTTAAAAAAAAAAAAAACTCTGAATAGTGTTGAGAGATGGCACCATCTCTCCGTACTGTGCGGAGGAGAGAGTGGTATCTCCGCACAGTTCAAAGAGATCAATTGATTTCTGCGAACAGTTTAGAGATTTTTTTTAGGGAGATTCAAAACTATTCACTACCATCTTCCTGGAGATTCAAAATTTATTCCCAGTGATTGAGTTTCTTGATTTTTAATGCATGTTTGTTTTCTATTCAGTTTAAGTGAAAAATTGCAGTTGTGTATTTCTAACAATTCTGCTTTTTATGTCCTTTTTGAATACAAAACATGCTACAGTCTAGTATATGCACATAGAAAGTTGACTTAAAGCACACTTGGGAGTGTTAATAAGTGATTATAAGTTATGATTTTACAAAATGTGTGGGTAAAAATATGTTTAATTAAGATTTGCCAAACACGCACTTAATTTGATGGGTTTGCTTCAAATTATGTTTGAGTAACTTAAATTATAATTTAAGCTTTGCCAAATATGCACTTATTTTGATGGTTTTGTTTCAAATTGATGAACTGGTAATGATACTTGTATAAAACAGCAAACTAACTTTGTTGATAAGACACAGGTACAATTGCAACCAGTACATCTCATGGCTCAGTTGGTGCAAATGCTAATATCACTCAGCATTAGGCTAGACTCCAAGCCATCGCTTCTGCTACCTCAAAAAAATTGGTGCGGAGGAGTGTCCGCACACTCCGCACATCGGGGTTTTGTACTTTTTTTAAAAAATTTAATCATGCAACTTGATTTTGTTTTGTTTGTTATTTTATTAGTTAAAAATATGTATTAAATATAATTACAAGAATCTAAAAAATAATAATAATCATTCTTTGAACAAAGAAATATTTAACTTCAATATAATAAAAAAAACTTCTGAAAAAGCTTTATGAAGAAGACAAAAATGAAAAAATAAAACCTGTGAAAATTTGTCATTATTCTTCGAATAGTAAATCAGTCACTAATGTGGATTTATTGTCTGGTGTTAAAAATTTTTTAAATAGTCATAATAAATCTTCTTATTACTACGCTAATAAATTACAATAATTTTTTTTAAATAGCAAAAAAAATCATTTTTATTTTGAACAAAAAACACATTTAAAAATTAGTAATTTCATGACCATCCTTCTTTATTTTTTTTAATTCCCAAAGATACAATTATAAAAAAAGAAACAACATTTAGTACTAAGAAATTCAATATTAAATAAATTTTATACATTGATAACAAATTAGCAGCAATGCAACCATATATGCAAACATACTGTACGTATCGTATTTGCAGCTTACCGGCAGAATAAACGGTATGTTGTAAATACGGTATGATACAAATACGGTATGATGTAAATACAGTATGTTGTAAATACGGTATATGTAGCTTACCGTATTTGCACCTTACCGTATTTGCATCTTACCGTATTTGCAGTCTATCGTATTTACAGGCAACTTACCGTATTTACAGTTTACCGTAAATGCTGCCTACTGTATTTACATGAAAATTATCGAATTTGTAGCTTACCCAGCATATTTACAGTAAGTATATACTGCATACTGTATTTGCAATTTATTGTATATGCCGATTTTTGCATTTACAAATACCGAGAATGCAAAGACCGTACATTTACTTACCAAACCAAATGTAGAAAAAAATTTCAATTTTTTATTTTTTCAACATAAGTATAAAATAAATATTAAAATAAATGAAGGACAAAATATAAACACATATGTATATGCAACTCGATTTATAACTTTGTGCTCAATCTTTAATTTTTTCAATATTGAATTATACAAAATTTAGAAATATAATCTTCACATTCAACTCAATTATATGAACACCATCAAAGAATACAGGTAAAATAGTTTGTATAACCTCGTTTATTTCTTATTCAAGCATGAAATATACAAACATATATTTTTTTACTGTTGCAATTGTAAAAATAATTTGCAATTATTTTCTTATATCGTGGAAATATTTCTAGATATTGTTTCAAAAACTTTCCTAAAAACTAAAATTTATCTGCTAATAAAAATATGATAAATACAAAATTCGTGCAATGCACGCGATAGTAACTAATTATATATACTAATTTGAACATCGGAGTATAACATAAGATAATCCCATCTTTTTTCAAGAATTGAATCAACACAATCACGACTCCAACAAAACTCTATATAGCTATTAGCATCACACCGTCTATAAAAAAGGATATATAAAGCTATATTAACATTGAATAAAATTCATTGTATTAACACATGTTTTGAAAGTGTTTATAAATTGGGAAAATTGCAACCAAGGTGAGGTGCCAAACCTTTCTTTTATTCGCAGACGTTGTCCAAACCTTTCATTTCTACCATCGTGAGTACCAAACCTTTAAAAAATCTGCACTTGGAGTCCAAATTGATAGAAACCATTACTTTTTCCATTGATTGACCAAAAATTAAAGGTTTGACCATTGTTGACTAATTTTCAAGGGCAAAAAGGCAACTCTACATTTTTTTCATACAAAAAAGCTAAAATAAAAGAATTAATTAAATAAATAAATCATATTATCTTCTCCACTCGCCCCACACCCTACCCAAAACCAAAACCAAGGGCACGAAAACGCCGACACCCACTAGCTTCGTCTCCAACCCCGCTTGGCATCACCATCCAACAATCACCAATTGAATCTTCGCCTAGGAGGATAAACACCTTCAATCAAAACCCAAGCATTTATCCTGATATAAACTCATAAATGCATAATTTTCTTGCAAACCCATCCTAGTTTTGATTCAGAATTTGGGGAAATTAAGGAAAAATGATGACAATTGAAGGGATGATGGATAGAAGGGGTGTTGGATGATATAATAAGGAGGCTTTTGGAGGGCAAAGGGAGGAAACAGGTGCAGCTTGCAAAGGCGGAGATTCGGCAACTTTCGGAGGTAGAAATGATTGGATCAATTTCTATCTTAAACCCATGTCAACTACCATACTACAAATTCTTCATACGGTGAACTAAGAGCTACGATTGAAAAGTGAAGGAATTGTGTAATTTTGTCTTTGCCTCCCTTAACAAGACTTTGCATTACATTTTCCATGTCAAAAATCTAGATTTCAAACTCTACATTTCCTTCTCAAGATCTATGGAAGGAGTGGTGGTTACGGCAGATTTGGTGGCGATGATGATTGGTGGATTTGAAGGTGGAAGGTGGCGGTGGTCTGATGGCTATGATTTGGGGAAGAAGAACAGTCTTCCCTTTTCTATTTTATTTTTTTATATTTGTAATTAATTATTGTAGCATTACCATTTTGCCTTTGAAAATTAGTCAACAATGGTCAGACTTTTAATTTTTGGTCAATCAATAGAAAAAGTATTTGGACTCTAAGTGTGAATTTTTTGAAGGTTTGGTACTCATAATGGAACAAATGAAAGATTTGAATAAAGTCTGTAAATAAATGAAAGATTTGGTACTTTGACTGCAATTTTCCCTTTATAAATACTTCAAATTGCAAATATTTTCGATAAAATTATTTTTATTCACACGGTACTATTTACTTTTTCGTCCCTCATTTCCACTCAATTCTGTACTTCCAAACATACCTTGTAGACATTGGGAATCGGAATAGCATTGTAATTTTAAAATAAATGAAAAGCAAAAGCCACCCTTCAAAATTGTTTGGCACGACTGTACTAGTAGAATATCATCATATCGACAGATCGTACTACATCAAACACGACACTTTCGTTTGCAGCTTGACCTGTTTGTTGAATATAAAATCCCCATCTTCTTGGGGAATCCGACGAAAATCTCGATAGATTTTGTATTTCTGATTCTTGGTGTTTTTTTTTTCTAGCTGGCGGATTTTACATCTTTAATTTTTTGGAGTCCAGCTTTACTTGATGGTTCTATTATACTATTATATATAGATTTTTCTTTTTATATATATGCACTGTGGGTCGATATCTGTGAATTGTGAATGGAGATGGTACACACACCGTTTACATGGCGCTATGGAGGTCACCAGGTTTCAATTTGTGGCTCTTTCAATGGGTATTTTCTGTTTCCTGGTAACCATTTTCTTGCTATGAGGACTGGATGGTCAATGGTTTACGGGCCGAGTTCTTATTGAGCTCAGCGATGTTAGTTTTATGAAAAGTTAGTTATTTTGTTAACAAACTATACCTTCTGAAAAGTAACTTTCGATGCATTCATCCAAGTTTCAGAGATACTGTGGCCTAATTATCTCGAAACGGAATAGTTAAAAGAGTTCTGTTAAGCCCGGTGGCCTGGCTGTGCCAGGGCATAGATGTCTAGTTTTTTCTGCTGTTCAGTCCCATCTAATCGAGTTTATATGGTGGTGCCTTAAACAAATGGTTTTCGTGTATTTGTCTTTTTGTAGTTATAATGTGACAGTTGTGTGTCTCTTGCATTATTGTATACATGATGGTGTTATGAATTATGATATTGGTGCAGTTGGACTGAGAAGATACCAATGACTTTAGTGGAGGTTTCGTCTTCTATTTTCCAGATAATTATTGATCTTCCGCCTGGTTATCATCAGGTATATAATTATGGCAGAGCATTATGAGAATGCCAGGCCTTGGGCAGCTATATATTATATTCAATGATTGAGATGTGAAGTACAAACATGAATAATCCATCAATAAAAAATATCGAGATAGTAGCGTTGAGAGATGCATGTCAAAATTAATTGGCATAGCATTATATGGAAAGCCTAGACTAAGCTACTAACTTGACAGGCTATTTTAAGCAACATGAGATTTATATGAGCGAATGTGCCTAGAAAGCATTTTGAATCATTCAAACAAAAGTTGCAATTTTGGTACTTGAAATTAAGGGGGACGTTTGTTTCCCATTTTTGTAAAAATGAGAATGAAAAAATATAGCCGTTATGGTCCCACACAAGAGATATAAATTCAAATTTGGTGGTTTAATGTGATGGATAACGGTCATATTTTTCATTTTAATGGGGAAAGAATAGGAAACAAACAGGGGCTAAAGTTTTCTTGGTTAATTATATTTTTTGCACTAAGTAGTAAATTGGTCTTATTATAACTCAAGCTTTAGATAGCCATTTTTACTGTTGATTCTGATCATGTACCACATTTCCAATTCTTAGTTGTTAAAAATGTCTCTCACTGCTTGAATATGGAAGAAATCACCCCTTTTTTCTTTGCAATATGTTAATTTCTGGACAATTTCCTGTAATGCAGTATAAATTTTTTGTTGATGGTATGTGGCGAGTGGATGAGCAGCAGATTTGTGCTCAGGATGAGTATGGAACTATCAACAATATAATTTTAGTTAACGGAGCAGAGAAAGTGTCTCCAAATTTACCTGCTGAAGCTTTTGGGGCTAGCATAAACCTGGATAAGGCTAGAATCATGCAGTTCGTGGTCAGTGCTTAACTTTCACTGTATGTTGTGCTAATTTAATTTTCATAATTACAACCCCTTTCATGCATGTTAGGTCATCCTGCTATTTTGATTCATGCAATTAAATTTACAATCTATTCTGGTTGTGCCAACTAGGGTTCATCTTTAGGCGCCCCAGTTAATAAGCCAGTTCTGCAGTTTTCAGATGGTGAGATGGATGTTTCTCGTAATCTTCTATCAATGCATTTGTCATCTTCTAGAGCATATGATTTGATTCCATATTCCGGCAAGGTTTGAATGCCACTTTTTTTTTTAATTATTTATTTAACTCTTAAACATTTGCGTTGATTGTGATCCCAATATGCTTCGTATGGCTATTAAGTTTGTGATAGTTTTTTCTAAGAGTAGGTCATTGTATTTGATGTTGAAGTGGCTGTGGAACAAGCCTTCCGTGACATGTTTGACCAGGTAAAAGTTTCTTAGCTTTTTTTTTATTCTTTCTGGATGGATGTACTACTTTTGTGGCACGTTATAGAATTATAAATATTTTACTACTTTGATTGGTCATATAGTTACTGGAAATGTCATAGAAACAGGAATTATATGTTTTACTTATCTGTCCGATAGTTGAAACTTTAAATGAAAGAAACAGACATCTCTCTCCAAGTTTGCAAAGATATGGAAAAGTGTGTAATTTGGGGCTAAACATATAGGTCAAACACCTTCCATAGGACACTAATATAAATGTCAGTTATGGTCAATTGAAAGACCAAAAGCTGCAGTGCTTTTTCTTTTCATCTGAGGCTCTTGCTGGGATACTTGCATCTTATAAAGGATGCAAAAGAGGCCAACAAGATCTTAATCGGATCCATAACAGAAAAGAAAAGGAAGACAACAAGATCTGATTGATTTTTGATCTATTTTTTTTACACATTTTGTTCCTTTGTTTCTATAACTCTGTTCTTGAAAAATGAAAACCTTAAAAGCATAATTTCTTCTGCCTTATCCCAAAAAAATAAATAAAATCTCTAGTGGTAATCGAATAATGATACGAAGTTTCCCTGACCATTAATGCACGGGGTAGGAAATGGTAGACAAATATCTGTATATGATTTCTAGTAACTCAGTATTCCTCGTGGAACCTTTTGTCGTATGCTGTGGCATAACCTGGATAAAGAAGACCGAGCATATATTAAGGTGTACCCAAAGCTCTCGAAGATTCAATTTGGCTTATGCTAGGGATATCTACAATGGAAACCATATACTTTCTTAGGAGATTGATGGAAAAGTATAAATAGAAGAAAGAAGATACGTATTTGGTAGTTGTTTATTTAGAAAAATCATGACAGGTTGATGGTGCTAGAAAAAAAAAAGAATAATTTTCTGAATAAAATATATAACTTTCCCAAATTCATAGTGCAGCCTTTTTTTTGAAAACAATCATATCTCAACCTATACTTCATGAAATAATGAAATTCCACGAAATCATGAAATTCCAAGTCTAGATGATAGATAACTCATAAAGCAACATTTTTCAAGTGGAATTACTCAAAAATATAATATATAACAATCACAATTGAATTCCAAAATCATGGGTTGATTCTGGAAAATCGGGACAGCTTTAATAAAAAATAGATTTAGTCCTTATTTGATTCTCATTATTTCAAAAATACATTTTTCTCTCTCTTCTTTTCAACCGCACAATCTTCAATAAAATAATATTACACTCAAATCCAAAACTTTTCCTTATTTTTTAACCACACATTCTCCATCAATCTATTATTCGAAAATGCATTCTCCTCTAAAAATGGGGCTCAAATAGGGTCGTAATTTATTAAAATCATTCAACAAGTTTTGGAATCATAAAATTTTGCAAAGTATTACTAAAATTCGGTTCCAACATGCAAATAAAACTTGGAATAATTGAAAACATAAGTACTCAAAAGAGAGTCTAATTATCTACAACATAAAATAATCTGTTCGGCGTTAAAATATATCTAAAGAAATCCTAACATTACTAATAATTAAGGTACTTTATGATGAGAATCCGTGGTCCAATAAATAACAGAAAGAACAAGGATATAATGGAGCTACTCTAAAGGATTTTGTGGTCATATAGATAGATTATTTTAGGTATTTAGGTTCGATTGCTAACAAGGAAGGATGACTTGTAGATGAGGTAATTTATAAATCTAGAGTGGCTAGATGAAATGGAGAAGTGCTACAGAAAGATCCTAAAAGGTTAAAATGTTATGTGGAGAACAATTCTTAGATTGACCATGCTATGTGGGATTTAAGATTGGGTTGTCAAATGACAATGACATCAAGATGAATGTAGCGCAAATGAAATTTAGGATATGAGAATATATTTGAACAAATGGAGTTGACTCAGGTAGAGGATAAACTTGGGTAATGGCAACTTAGGTAGCTGGGATATGTATTGCAAAGACATAAAGAAGCTACCATTCACAAAACTGATGCAATTTTAGTGGAAGAGGTTAGAAAGGTTAAAAGGGAGGGTAGATCAAAATTTACCTAGCATGTTATTCACAAAGGATCTAGCCATGGACAAACATTAATATTGGTGGGTCGAGGATAAATTTAGGTAAAAGACTACTTGGTTGGTTGGGGAATGTGTTGCGAAGATCTAAAGAAGCTACTATTCATAAAAGTGATGCAATCTCCGTGGAAAAAGGTTAGAAGAGAGAGTTGCATCAAAATTAACTTTTTGTTGTGCATTCTTATCAATAAAAATTGTGATTTTTTTCTTTGTCCTTCTACTTGCTAATCATTATTCAGATTTCATTGCTCTTCAGTAACATCAATATGTACTAACTATTTTGGTTTATTGCTTGATTATAGGATTATTGGAATTAAAATATAATTTGTCTCACTTTATGTGATTATTTTTTAAGTTACGTAGATCTTATGTACGCCTCAAATCAGAATCTTCCATGATTCTAAGTCTCTGCATCCACCTGCATTAGCATTTCAGACCTACCCAGTGGAATCTTGAGTTTGGTTTCCATTTACTCCTCTACTTTCCTAGGAAACCTATTTGTTAAGGCAAGTCACATATTGCTCCTTTTCATATTATTTGAGGTAATTCTTTTCAATACCGCGGACATGTGATTCTGAAGTAGTCAATTTGATTAAATTTGTACATATCAGACACTTATTAAGTGCAGTTTAAGGTTGCTGTTTAACTCTTGAAATTCAGCAATGGTTTCCAGTCTTGTCTTGCGAAAATTGGTAGTGTAGTTGTTACCCAGGTTCCAATAGCTTTTATGTCAAACTGTAAAGTCACGTGGAAGATGCGACTCCAGCAAACAATCACATACATCAAGAATTCTCACCAAATATAGCGTTGTTGTCATTAGAAAGAATTGGAAAAAATTGCATACCATGTTATGTAATAACTTTACATGCTTACTTTATTCTTCCTATTGTTTGTATAAGAAATCATCTAAATGACAAGTTTATGCATAAGATTGTTAATTTGGATATGTTGCTGTTACCTTTTCACTGCTTCACAAGTTTCTAGACTAATTTGCTTATCATTATTATCATTAGGGGCTTGCAGTTGTGCCTCTATGGGATGAACATCATGGACAGATTGCAGGAATGCTAACTGCGTCAGATTTCATGTTGATTTTACTCAAGGTAATTCATGTTTCAGGAACTGCTATGAATGAAATGCCGTCGGACTTTAACTTGGTGAAGCCAGATGGTGAAATGATTCACAGTTGTATTGAAGCCAAGAAACAATGTTTGTGATGTAAATATTCACATATGTGTCCATTTCATCATTCTTTTTCCATATGGAAAAAGTTCAACCCAAAATTTTAAGAGCAACGGGCGAATTATTTCTCGAGTAGCTGTCTCTATACTCTTAACACAATCTTGCTTTTGCCTTCCTCTCGTCTAATGTACAGTCACAGACTTATGCGCACATGGAGTTTTGTTTCACTAGAACCGCTTAACGTTTTTACATCGACCTATTGGTGGATGCCAGACTCCCATTTTCTTTGGAGAACTTATATATGGATACTTATTTCTATACTAGGACTTTAAGTCGAGCATTCCCTGCCGCCAAGCAAAACAGGTTACTGGCTTGTTAATTAGCCCAATAAAAAAGGAAAGAAAAAAAATGTTCAATCAGTTTTACAACTTAGTGTGCTATTAATATTGGTAATTCAGTTAGTTTTAAGTTTAACATCGATGATGCCAATTGGCAGTTGGTTTTCTAGCCATTTGCATGCTGGGGATGACCCCCCCCCCCCCCCCCTCTTTCTGCAGCTTCACAGAAATCGTGCCATGTTCACCAATGAAGAGCTTGATATACACACAATATCTGCCTGGAAACACCAAAAATTTCATCATCCTAAAGATATGATCGGGGCTTTGGTTCCACTTCAGCAAAGGTCGTTAATCCAAGTAAGTGCTCTTATTAATGTGGATTTATAGGGCTGACTGCCGCCTTGGTGTTTGTCTGCGAGGATTGAAATGCTATCTCTAATCATCCTCCCCCCACCAGGGAAAAACAACAGACACGAACACTTTGTAATAAAAAAGGACTCATATATATGATGCTCGTGTGTGTTGTACCTGTCAACACGTTGGTAACTTTGGGAATCTCATTATTGATATGTTTTACCCTATTACTCTTGCAACCTACAGGCAGGTCCTGATGAATCTTTGGGAGGCTTGGCTTCAAGAATTCTACATAATAATATTTCTGCAGTTCCCATCATACATTCAGCAAAAGATGGATCTTGTCCTCAGTTGTTACACATAGCTTGCCTCTCTGAAATATTAAAACGTTGTGAACTTATTAAACTATCAGTTTCTCCTCAAACTTTACATGTTTTTACCTGCTTACACTGTTTTGTTTTTGTTTTTGTTTTTGTATTTTGTATTTTTTTTTTTTTTTTGTTTTTCGTATACATCTCAGATGTATGCAGGCATTTTAAACACCATATTGGATATCTGCCGCTTCTACAGCAACCAATTGGTTACCTCCCATTAGGTACCTGGGCTAGAGAAGCTGGAAGAGCGAGTGATCGTCCGTTGTTGACATTACGAACCAATGATTCTCTTGATTCTGCTCTTAATTTATTGCTAGAAGGTGCGTAATGACTTCATGTGTGTGCCATAGTTGCATGCTTGAAATGATCTAAATCCAGATGACTCAAAACAATGCTTAAACTGAATTTCCACTATCACCCTTTCACACGATTCTTCTCTCTTTTGAGACGTCAGTACTAAACTCCATATTTGACTAAATTCCATATTTCTAGTCAAATATGGATCTAGTCAAATATGGAGTTTCTCTTGTTTTTGGAGGACAGTATTTAAACACAAACATCGGTTGTTTAAGTACCTTCCTGAAGATTCCTGATTAAGCAAACATGTAGAATCAAAGGGTACAGACTATTCTGATTATTAGCTCGAGATAATTCCGTAGTGCAGAAATATTTATTTTAAGCTCATTTGCTGTATTGCTTTTGAGTTGGTCAACCCTGGACATCAGTTGGAGCACTTTGAGTGCTCAATGAGTATGCAGAACATGCGCTGAGATGCCAAGCAAAGTCACTTTTGAGGTTTGAGATAGGATTGGCAGCAGCGTAAATAATAGTTTCATGACACGTGTTCGAAAATATTCTGGCTTGATATGATATATTTGTTATGGATATCTAGAACTCCTGCCTATTATTGTGTTCCTTTCTTCCTTGCCATGATAATTAGCCAGCATGTTGATAGACTCAAGTTTCAAGTCCTTTAATCTCTCACCGCTTGCAATAGCTAAGCTAGCCTCTTGAACGAAGTGGAAGAATTCTGCCTAGGGGTCAAATTTAAGTGTAGGCTGAATTTGGGATCACTAAATTGTCGACTCACAAGAACCCAAGAGCTATGGAAAGTTGGGAGCTATAGAACTTTGTAAAGTAGACGGAACAGAATGACAGACTGGATAAATTTATGCTTATATTGCTCAGTTATGCTCTGTACAACTTCTTGATTAGAAATTATATCTTGACCCTGTTTATACTTTACCTCAAACACGGTGATGATTGATTGTCTTATTTCATTTGTTTTGTTTCAGCTCAAATAAGTTCGGTGCCTATACTTGATGACAGGGGTAACATTGTAAGTGTCTACTCTAGGAGGTAATGGATGCCTGTTTATTGGATCTTCAAACATTTTATCACTCATATTTGCAAGTTTAATTTCCTGCCATATTGTTTCTTGTAAGTTCGTAGTCAAATTTATGCAGTGATATTATGTCATTGGCAAAAGACAACATGTATATCCGCATCCAACTTGATGAGATGATGATGTCTCAGGTGAGTCCTACTCAACTGTTGTTAATCTGCTATTAAGTGTTCTATTTCCATATATATATATATATATATATATTTTTGTACCACTGTGAGATTGAATAATGGCAATGGATGTATTGAATATATCTGTGGGTATTAGATGAAATATTTGCAAGAATCAGCATAAGAAATTATGTGGAATGGCTGAAAATTACAACAATTACACCCTCGTACCTTTCGCGATATATTTTTCAGAGCATGTTTAACTAAAGCTTTAGAAGTTCTATTATGAGCGAACGAGTAAATCCTTAAATAAATAATTTCTTTATTGGTCAAAGTTGGAAATAAATTGGTATGAATTACTAAAATTTACTTAACAGTAGCTTCTTTCACTTAAAAAGGTCAAGTAAACATGCTTCTAGCATTCTGCTGCAAAAGAAGTTGCCTGGCTAGTAACAAAGAATTTGTGCATTATTTCTTCTGGCGTTCTTCCTCTAGCGACTTCTAGAAACGTTTAACAGACAGGTTGGACAGAAAATAGTTAGGTAGTGAAAATTCTATCAATTTTGTTTTACATCAAACCTTTCAGGTAAAACTTCTATTACATCAGTTGCATTTGTAAGATTGCATGGACTAGAATTATATCGTCTCTCTCTCTCTTGAATGTGCACTAAAGGAAGAATTTGGCAACCCAACACCACCATCACCACCAAGAGAATTTTGATGCACTTTTGCAGCCAGCATTGTTTTTGTTGTGTAGTTGCTAAGAGAGGAATTATACGCAGGCATTGGAAGCTACTGGTGAAGCAGGAGGCCGATACCAGACATGCACTCGGTTCGATTCCTTGTGTAGGGTGATGGAACTTCTGTCAGAACCAGGTAAATATTTTTAAAGTTTTTTCTTCTGCATTTCGAAAATGAAACGCATATTAGACTTTTCTCGAACGTCTCTTTCAGATGTGCGGCGTGTAATTGTTATTGAGGCCTGCAGTCGACGTATTGAAGGCATAATAACACTGAGAGATGTATTTACTTTTATTTTGCGATGAAACCCTTTTCTCCCCATAAGCCGGAATTGAGATGTAGACTGATTAATTCCCTGGTTGTGTTGATTTTCTATATTTCTATTCCAGTTTTGGTAAGTATTTCAATACTACAAGAATTACATAGGCAAAAGTATTCGACCAGTCATTGAACCTCCTAATCAGATTCGCTGAAACACTTTGTAATAATATGATCAGCTTTCTAAATGCAGCCACATTTTGACAAGCTAGTCCCCAAGTACGAATCTGTTCTTATCCCTTTCTTTTCTATACATTCGTGTACCATCCTTCCCTTTTCAATCTCTCCTAGCTGTGCACAAGCAGAGAGCATCGAAACCGAAGCAACATCATCGAACTTGACTTGAAATGCAACCGTACGATCAAATAGCTTAGCAACTTCCTTGCACCGGTTCATTTGTGGGTACGCCATGAAACAGCATCTCTTTCGGGCATTTCATCAAACAGATTCCGGGCTCAAATTAACCTCATCTCTATACAAATTTCATCAAAATCTTTGTATGCTAGATCAACGTCCCCATTTTTACATTATATACATTCAAGTGAGTTGTGCACCCAAAAACACTATCCAAAACCCAAATTTAACTGCTTCATATTGTAACGGGAAGTTGAAGGATTGGGTATAAGATCGAAAATTTTGAGATTTATTGAAGGGTGGAATGAAAGGATGCCTCTTGAGATGGAGTGGGCATGGACTTGTGGGAATTGTTGACGATAAGTGTCAAAATAGGATAGAATGGCAAAATTTGAAATCCAATTGAGATTCGTTAAATGGTTCAGTGAATCATAGATGAAATTTACCATATTTTCGAATTTTAGAAGAAATGGAAAACAGAAACATCGTGAACGGCAGGATTCGAACCTGCGCGGGCAGAGCCCACATGATTTCTAGTCATGCCCGATAACCACTCCGGCACGTCCACTTCGGCTGTCACAGATCTCAGGAATTGAAATATTATGCTAATATAACATTATTATTTAAAAAATTTAACGTAGCTATCTTATGATCATCTCCCTCAAGGGAGCGGTCGCATGAAGAAACAAGCACCCTTTGTTGATCGAAGGATTCAACAAATATGATAAGAAGTATTCAATTTAAATCTATATAAGTTCAATTAAAGACATTTATAATTTTCAAAATTCTTGATGAACAATTATAAGTAGAACTTTGATCTTAACATTCTTAATGTGAGAATGTGTCATAGTTTGATTGGCTAATGGTTGATAGGTGCAATTATTACACCAAAGTACTTAGTTTGATTAAGCCATTGTTTGATACAAATTAAAATTAAAATTTTTATCATAGTCAAAGTTAACAATAAATTTTAATAACATATTTCATGGAATCCATAACTTTTCAACCAAATATTTTATCAACTTTTATCAAAATCTGTTAAAAATATGATTTTAATATCTACCAAATGGGGCTAAATATAGATTGTGGTAGGATAAATTCAAATTTGGATGGTTATTAATGAAAAGAAGTGACAACTTGCTAAAGAAGTGCGAAGTGAAAAATTATAAAAGTTTGAGGACTAAATTATAAATATCCTAAAGTTGATTCGAATCAAGAATGAATGATTGAAAATTACATAGATCGAATTGAATGAAATTAGAAGATGAAAGACTGAAATTGCACCAGAAAAAAATGATTCAATATACTCAAAGGAAGAAATCAAGTGACTAAAATGAAGTTTTTCAAAGTTTCGAGGCGTGCGATAAATAGACTTTGTGATCGCAGCGCCTGTTGCGACAACAACAGTAAGCAAAAAGACCACATGTGCTATCGTGGCCCAGGTAGGTGTGCCATTGCAATTTCATTATTTTCATGAACCTCTTCTTTAAAAGCAATCATGTCATGATTTATTTACCAAATTTTGGACTCTATAAATACTAACCTTCGTCCAACAATTAAAGAGAGCTCTCTTGATACACAATACGTATAATTTTTGCAAACAGGCAAACCAAATAAGAAGCTTTAGATAGAGGACAAGAGGACACAAACAAGAAATATTTGTTCTAATTCATAACTTAAAGATTAAGCCCTTGTTTGAGCCACATTATTTTCATAGGAATGCATTTTTGAATAGTGTATTGATGGAAAATTCATGATTAAAAAATAAGGAAAAGTTTTGAATTTATGTATGATATTATTTTATTGAATAATATGTGGTTGAAATAATGTCAAATCATTATTTAAGAATGTATTCTTTTTTAAGAATGTGGATCAAATAGGGAATAATTCTTGGATTTTGGGCAAAGGAGAAGAATGTCAAAAAGGAAATTATCAAAACGAATTGAAGAGATTCAATAATCAAGACTTATCCTCTTTTTCTTCCTAAATCTCTAGTCCCGGTGATGTCCCATACATCAAATATGGATTCTTGTAACTTTGTAATCTTCGATTAAACTTTTAGCCCCTGTCTGAAACTATTATTTTCATTTGAGAAAATAAATAGCGTATATAAAAGTTGTATCAATTGTTGTACCCCCCTCGCCCCCC